GGCTTAGGAGTCGGACATGGGTTCAGCGAGTTTGTTGCTGTCCTTCGTAGAGTAGGAACCTGATTAAGAGACACTGGCCCTATACCCCAAAGTAGTAAGATTCATATTTAAAGAACCCTAATAAGGAAGCAGGGTTTCTTAATCCGGTTCCTATAAAAGTTCTTCGCGTGCTTCCGGCAGCATCCAGCCAAGAACATGAAAGCCAAAAGCAAAACGCACTACCTAAACTCTGAAAACCTCAACCCCGCCCCCAACTCAAACCCTAACGCCGCAACCCGAAAACACTCAACTCGTCCCCACGGTTTAGGGTTTAGGGTTTAGGGTTCAAATCCTCCCCCCTAAACCCTAAACCCTAAACCCTGAACCCTAAACCCTAAACCCTCCCTTCGGTGCAGGGGCACATCGGCTGTGACCACTTGGTGATCCCGGGCCCCGGCGTGGAGCGCCAGGTGGGTCCCTGCATAAACCTTTCTGTATAGTAGTCTAGGGGTTTAGGGGTTTAGGGGTTTAGGGGCTTAGGGGTTTAGGGTGTACCTGAAAATCCAAGAACCTACCGTTTTAGGGGTTCTACCCTCAAATAAAGGGGTCATAGCCTACTATTTTGTAGGGTTGGGGGTCACACGTAGGGTTTGTTTGGATCTAGGGAATCTAGGGGCATGCATGTATCAGACCCGTCTTCGGGTACTAGTGTAAGTCCCCGCGTTTTCAATGTTGTTCTGCTCCATTTCTCTGCAGGGCTCTGCAACACTCGTTTCTTGGTTTCCTTCTCCGAGGAGTCCCCTGTATGTATGTTACTTGTACATCTACCATAGCCACCTAGACCCGTGTGAAAACCTATGCGCAGAAACCGGATGATGTCTATATCTATATCTGCATATCTGCATAAATACGGACAGTTAAGTGATCAAGAAAGCAAGCAAGTATACACGTACGTGAACGACTGTGCAGAGCGAGCGAGCGAGTGAGTGAGCGAGCGAGTGAGTGCGTGAGTGAGTGTGCATGTAAGTATGCAAGTAGGAAAGTAAGGAGGCAAGTATGCACGTGTCGAAGTCCGGCTGTATGTATCTGCGTGCGTGTGAATGAATCAATCAAGGAAGGAGAGAAAGGTTGGATGGATGAATGAATGAACGAGTGCATGCATGCGTGCAGATTGTGGTTTGGATTAACTTTGCTATGTTATGTTATAATGTGACATGTTCTGTTGTACACTGCCCCGAACTGCGAGGTGCTGCCCAATCCCTGCACTGCGCTGCGCGACACCGCTATGCAATTCAATGCAGTTCATGCATGCATTGTATGTACTTAAGTAGATATGTATGCATGCATGTGTGGATGTATGTATGTGTGTATGCCCTAAACCCCAAAACCCTAAGCCCTAAACCCTGAAACCCTAAACCCTAAGCCCTAAAGTGTATGTGTTCAAGTATCCTTCAAGACACCTCCCCAAACCCCAAACCGTAAACCCTAAACCCTAAACCCTGAACCCTAAACTACTTACGAGGTGTCGGATGGCTTTCAGCTCATCTCCTCTCCTCGCCGTGAGTCTGGGGCCCTGTGTCCGGCTGAGGGAGTCCTTACATTGCAAGTTTGATGAGATATCTTACATATATATATGTATATGTTATATCATAGTTTGAATATTATGTGATAAAAAAGAGAATATATATACACACACATACATACACATATTATAGATTATGTAGTAAATTCCTGTAAATCAAACGTCGTTTATAAGGGCACCATCGTAAGGGTGTTTGGGCAGGGATTTGGAATGTAAGGCCTAGGGTTTTTGAGTTTTGGGTGTAATCTAGGAGCCTTCATCTTTATAATTGGGTTGTGGGGTTTTACAATTATAATACGGACCCCCCCCCCGAATAGTATAGGTAATTATTCAGGCTTTTATATACAGCTTTAGGGTTGGGGCTCAAGGGCTTCAAGGGTTTGCACGGCTTCATAAGTTTAGGGGTTTAGGGTTTCGGGGTGTAGGGTTTAGGGTTTAGGGGTTCGGCTGATTGCTAACTTCGCAGGAGGGTTTTCCACACCTTCAAGGCTTCGCAGAGTGCTCAGAGGAGTTTTTTTCAGAGTTTGGTTTGGAGTGGTTCCGTAAAGTTTAGGTACTTTAGGGCTTACCTCAACCCCGAAGAGCCTAACTTTTTTGGGGAGGGGGGGGGGGGTTCCTTATTCTGATTTCCTTACATCGGTCCATTTATTTGGGGTTCAGGTGCTGCTTTGGGGCTTTGGGCTTAAAATGGGTAGTTCTCTACATCTTGAGGGTCCTTTTAATAATGGGGCCTACTATTTTTCGGACCTGGGCCTGAAAGGACTCAAGGTTAGGGTTTAGGGTCTAGGGTTTAGGGTAGGGTTTTAGGGTCTAGCGTCTAGGGAACTACCCAAATACTTGTGGTGGTGAGGCTTCGGGGTTCGGGGGCATCCGGCTTCAAACCCCAAATTCATAAATCCCCAAACCAAAATCCCCTAGACCCTAGGGTGAAACCCCCAAAAGTTGGAACATGGATTGAGGATGGCTTTGTGCTGGAATTCCTTGTGCTTTACCTTACGGGCATGAGGAGAATGATGTTCCAAGTTTCGTGCTTCTACTATGATACCTACAGCTGGGGGACTGGCGGCTGCCGTTCCAAGGTGTAAAGGACCGACCCCAAACCCCAAACCTTCAAACCCCTAAACCCCTAAACCCCTAAACCCCAAACCTTTAAACCCTAAACCCTAAGCCCTTAAACCCCTAAACCCTATAAACCCTAAACCCTATAAACCCTAAGCCCCAAACCCCAAACCCTAAACCCCAAGGCCTAAACCCTAAACCCTAAACGCCACAATTTAAGGATCGGGGTTTAGAGTGTAGGCTTTAGGGTCTACGGTTTCGGGTCTTCAGTTGCTTTGGGGTTTGTGGGGTTTTCGGGTTTTGGGGCTTTTGGGTTTAGGGTTCAGGGTTTAGGGTTCAGGGCTCAGGGTTTAGGGTTTAGGGTTTAGGGTTCAGGTTCATGGTAACCATGTCTACAGCCTTCCTACTTAACAACAAACCTACTGTAGTGAGAGCCCGGGCTGACATAAGGCTCTTGAGTTTTGATTTCGGGCTCTGCTGCAGGCTTGAGTGGCTTTGCAAGACTTTGTGTCCCCTAAACCCTAAACCCGAAACCCTAAACCCCTAAACCCTAAACCGTGTGTAGCGGGAGCTTTATGTTTGGGCGGGCTTTGGAAATTCGGATTTGGTTTGAGGCGGGGGGATCCGTGCTCTGGAGGCTTTGCGGACTCTGATTGCGCGTAATCTGTTTAGGTCCGCGTGGGCTTCGAGCTCTTCAGGTCTAGATGTCAAAGGTATGTTAGTGATCGTAATACTAGTAATAGAATTAAAACAAGGAATCGTAAGACTAACAATACTATTGATAGTAATAATAGTAGTAATAGTAAAAATTTCAGCCCTAAGCCCTAAACCCTGAATGCTCTAAGCTTCCTGGTTCAGGGTTTCAAGTTGAGGGTTTCTGTCTGCCTTGCCACGCTTCGACTGGAAGTGGGTCCAGGGTTTTTTTGGTACCGTCGCAGTCCTTCGCCGTAGTTCTTAAAGAAGGGGGGTTGTTAATCCCAACGAGCTGAGGGTTTTCATCTCATCCTCCGAAGCGGGTTCAGGATTTTAGGCTTTCCCACGAGCTAAATCAAAGAAACACCGAAAAAACGTCCTAGTATGGGTCACCCGCTCCGTGATAGTCCAGCGGAGGATAGAGGATTTAGGGTTCAGCATGTAGAACTCCGGATGATAAGGCCGCCATACAAACCCGAAGCCCGAAACCCTAAACCCTAAAACCCTAAAGCCCTAAACCCGAAAGTCTAAGAGCGAAAGGGTGGTCGGATCTATGCATCGAGGTCCACCTGGGCCAAGAAAGCAGCCTCAGCCGCGGCTGTCAGCCGGGACGCCCAAAAAAAACCTTGTTAATATTGGGGGCCTCAAAAATTGGAATGGGGTTTGGGGGGTTGTTCTATATTATAAAAAGGAACCCCCAAAACCATATTCTAACTATTGAGGCCCCTATTTTATGGGGTTCAGGGTGAACAATCGCTGATCCTGGGCTGCTCCGCTTTGCGTTTCGTTTGGTTTCCAATCTCCGCCTTTGTTTTGCTTTTTTCCCTTGATATCGCCGTCGTGGTTCTCGCTATTTTCATTTCGGTCGTGGTTCTCCTTGCTGAAACCCCAAACCCCTAAACCCTAAAACCCTAAAACCCTAAACCCTAAAACCCTAACCCCCTAAACCCCAAGCCCTATACCCCTAAACCCCTCAACCCCAAACCCTAAACCCCTAAACCCTAAATCCCAAACCCAAAGCCCTAACTCGAGGGTTTCTGGCCTTGCATGGCGGGAGTTTTCCGCCCAAGCCCATTGCTCCTCAAGGCCTGGAAATGGGGCTTCAAAGTCTGGGAGCATACCGTATGGTCAATGGTGGGGATAAGGGGTTGGGGTTTAGGGTTCAGGGTTTAGGGTTTAGGGGTCTTGCTGGATTTGAAATGTTTCTGGCACCAGGGTTTAGGTGTATTTTAGGGTTTAGGGTTTAGGGTTTCATGGCTTTCTTGCAATTCCGAATCCGCGAGCTGTAGAGCTTGCTTTGCGCGCCCCAGGTGGTGCAGCTGGCTTGCTGGTGCTCCATGCAGGGGCCTCGTGATACGGATCATTCGGAACTCCAAGGATCTCAATCCCGGATGTAAAAAGCGTGCAAAGTGTGTACAGCGTTCAAGTTGTTATCAACTCTTCCGGGTAAATGGTTCCATCAGCTTTTCGTGGAGCGCTGACCTGCCGCACCCCAAGACCTGTAAATCGCACGATCGCCGGGCCCTCGCAGAGGGTGCCTTGCTGCTTGAAGGCAGACGCACATGCCTCAAGAGACCTTTGGGCTCACAGGGTTTTTTCCAGAGGCGTGCCGTGCCCTCTCCGTGCCACAATGATGGCGCAGAGAGTGGCGGCGATGTTCGACGAGCTTCGCGATCAAGTGGTCGCCATGGTCCAGGACTATGACCATCAAGGAAGTCAGATAACGGAGCTGCAGGGACAGCTGGCTGCCCAGACGCAGCGGGTGGAAGCCCTGGAGGCAGAGCTTCAGGGTTTGAGGCAGTTGTTGGGGCAAGATGCAGAGGAGAGCGAGGCGGAGACGTGCACACCGCCATCCCCCAACATGGTGGACTCTCCCACTTCGGGTTCCGACGAAGAGATGGAGCCAAACCGAAGGGTCATTGCCAACTCGCTCCTGAAGCATCTCTATGCCCTGGTTGGGGCCAAGGACAAGGAAAAGAAAGCAGTTGAAGCATCGCAGGTCCAGGAGGCTCCTGATGGCCATGGCCCCAAGCCCACGCGCTGGAGGTGCGTGTGGCGCCCCGGCATGGATATCAGGAGCGAGCGCACCGTTCAGCGCAAGTGCGTAGTGGGCTTCCTGAGTTGTGGCGAAGTCTTCAATGTGATTCAAGAGTGGCGAGGCAGAGAGGGCACCCTCTTCCTCAAGCTTGCCGGTGACAAGGGTTGGGTCTTCGACAAGACCCGTACCGGCACCTTCTGCGTGCCAGTGGGAAGCGAGTGGCAGGACTGGCGAGGTCCTGAGGGCCACAAGGCCTGGACGGTCAACAACAGAGATCAGAAGCACGGATCGTGGAACAACGCACCCAGCGGGAGTGGTCGCGATCGCGGAGGCGACAAGTGGAAGTGGGCATGGGATGATAATGACCGTGGTTGGGGGAGCAGCAAAGAGTCCAGCTCTTCTTGGAAAGGCCAAGAAGACAACCGGCCATGGGATCAGAAAGATCGTGATGCTTGGAGCAGCAAAGAGTGGAAGCCTTGGGCGTGCAACGGCCAGAACAAGACGGAGTCACACAAGAATTCGTGGTGATGCTGCGGCTTTCCCATCAGATCCTGATGTTCCGACTTGAGCTCTGTGTGTAGTCTACAGTGAACCCCAGAAAGTTGGAACATGGTTTAAGCTCTAAACCCTAACCCCTAAACCCTAAAAGCCCTAAGGATGATAAGTGCTGGGATTCCTTATGCTGTACCTCTAAGGGGCATGAGGAAACGAATGAGCCAACTTTCTGGTTTCTACCACAAGGCCCAAGAGAGAGCTGCGCCGTTTTTTGTCACCGTCCCCAGAGAGCCCAATAAATACCCCTTAGTTAAGGAATATACCTTAAATCAGAATATTAAGGCCCCCATAGTTTAAGGTATATTCCGCAATTGAAGTGGGCTCTCTGGGTCTCACGTAGAGGATCATGGGGACGAACTAAGTAAGGTTGTAAGTAGCATAAATTGGGATTAGAAGTAAGAGCCCCAGGCAGGCAATGGTTGGCACCATGAACAGAGCCACCAACCAGAGAACAAGTCTTGGGGGGGTCTACCAACGGCCAGAACCAAGACGGAGTTCGCGCAATCGCTTTTTGGTGATGTCGCAGCCTTCCACTCAACATCCTCATGTTCTGGTTTGAGCAGGGTTTAGGGCCTAGGGTTTAGGGAAATCCTCGGGTGTGTAGCCTAAGCCAAAGACAGAGCTGCGATTCATTGACACAGGTTTCACCAGTCTCTGCAGCGAACCGCAAGTTCCGTTTGAAATCAGCACACAAAGTATCTTGCATGAAGTGTCTGAGGAGTTGCTGTAGGGTCTTGGAAGAGTGTACATGCTGTCTGCTTTCGCCTTTCTTATTCTTCATGGAGAGCATCTACTGTATGGCCAAGGAATCACAAACTAGGGGAAAACAAACACACACACACACACACACACACGCGCGCACACACACACACACGCACACACACCCGCACGCACACACACACACACATCAAGGCATCACGGCTTGCTATCCTTGGAACACAGCAGCACAGTACACAGAATGCACGAACCATGCCATGTGAGCTCATGTCACATACACAAGGGCCTATTGTCTATCGGTATTCTGCCAGACATCACCGTTGATCCCTAAACCCCTAAACCCCTTGATGCTTGGCGGCAGACGCACATGCCTGAAAAAGCCTTTTGGCTGACAGTTTCTTTTGCTAGAGGCGTGCCCGTGCGGCACAAGTCAGTACCTCTGCTTGCCACAATGATGGCGCAGAGAGTGGCGGCGATGTTCGACGAGCTTCGCGATCAAGTGGTAGCTCCGTCACCCGGCTTCCCTGCTGCTCATGTTCCTGGACCATGGCCGCCAATGGCGCCGCCAATGGCCGCCATGGTCCAGGAATATGAGCAGCAGAGAAGCCAGATGACGGAGCTGCAGGGACAGCTGGCTGCCCAGACACAGCGGGTGGAAGCCCTGGAGGCAGAGCTTCAGGGTCTGAGGCAGTTGTTGGGGCAAGATGCAGAGGAGAGCGAGGCGGAGACGTGCACACCGCCATC